TATATATATATGTATTAAAATTTAATTATTTATTTTATGTATTTAATATTATATTTTTATTTTTCAAAGTAAAGTTTTAAAATAAGATCTGAAAGAATTTAATTATCTGTTGAGCTTGATATTTTGTGGATTCTCTCAGCTATTTTTATAAAAACATAATCTTTAGATTTCTATGCATCCAAATAATGTAAAATAAATTTTTATTAAAACGGAATTCTCGTAAAATCATATAAAGAATAAGATTTTGTTATATTTATTTATAGTTTCTCAAAATATATTTGATTCCTCCATTGTTATAATTAAAACGATTATTATTTTTCTTACAATTATTTTGATCTGTGATATCTGTAATAATGCAGGGCCTTTGGTAGTATTAAATAAGTGCTCTGTAAATAAAGAATGAAAAAATTTTGTTAATTGCAATTAATATCTGCTAAATTTACTATTTCTAACAAGCGGCACATATAACAGTGCACGGAAGTAGATGAAATAGGGACAACATATTTACGCACCGAAAGACCATATAATGAGATGCGTTGTGTCACTGATTCGACGCGTTTTCTTTTACTGTGACTTTCAAATTTCACACTTTCTGAGCCGTAGCACACGATGTGACATTTTATCTTGGACACTCCAATATTCTTAATAATAGATTATAATACGTATTCTTTCTTCCACTATGCGCGATTTAAAAAATGATGAAGCAGTACAATTCTGCGAGTTAATAATTATGTCAAAATGCGTCAAATGGATGCAATGATCGGTTTCTTTCTGCCTAATCGCGAACAAGTATACTACCGCAATGAAGAGATGCTGGATGCTTACTCCTGTTTTATATACATCAGCCTACCGCCCTACCGCTCAGAAAAACCGCTTCGGCCAGTAATGACGTCGCCTTTTGATGAATCTCCACACAGATCTTCGATTAGCATTAAAAATATATAATAGTCTATTCTACGATTATTCATTATATATGAATATTTTTAAATTTGGTCAACTTTTTAAACATGTTCAACGTGCTAGAAAGCAGAAGATACAAAGTTATTTCATAAAATATCTTGTGCTTTCTTAAATCTTTCACTCTACGAACTGCAGTGTATGATCTTAGATCTTTGTATCTATAGATATATAATACGCAATTGTAATTTTTTTATAAAAAATCTAAAGTTTATCTAAAAAAAA